TATATATTTGCACGCTTAGTTTCGATATAGAAAAGTGTACGACATTACCACTCAAAGGTTAGTTGGCTTAAAATAATTTAAATTTTCATATGAAGCACTAAAGTACGATTAGTGGGGGTTCATGTGTCTTAAAACGATACGTTAGACATTATGCTTTTAGTATTAATATGAAACAAGATGAATTTGACATTCCCAAATAAATAATAAACACATACATAGTCATTCGTGGGAGAATGTCGAAAAATAATCCATTAATCTCGCCATCAACCTATTTTGTAATGCTTTTAAGTGTTAGGAACAATTATATTATGTATTGTAAAATTTTCCATAATAACATGACCTGTCACCAGAATTAAATTCATATAGTATGACATATATGATATTTTGTTTATAATTTAAGGAACTAAATATATGTAGGTCTATAACTTACCCATAAGGTGTAATTTGATCAATTAAACACACAATTATAAGAGAAACATATGAGTGGAATTCCAGTTTTTTCACTCCTCGAACATAAATTCACTCTCTGTACATAAACACCATAAGCATGTGTGTGTTATTCATCCATCAGATTGGCCTATAAGACACCATTACGGAAAATGAAAAAGAATAATGAGATTATCATCTTCAAAATCAAGGGGATACCGTCTTCTCAAATTAGGAGTTCTTCATTTGTGTCGAGATTTATCAAGTTTATGTTGAATTGACCTTGTGATTATTCCTATTAATTCAAAATACTCAACTGCTAAACTGCCATATATAAAATAAAGGTAACATTTTGAAATATTTCATGGAGCTATCGGCTATGTACCATTTTAGTGCTTAAATTTTTTTATCCCATTTCAATCATTGAATTATTTGATTTTGTTTCGATTTATTTTTATAAGCTATAGTCGGTATCACTAGATTTTTTAGAACGGCTAACACACACATCCACTAAATTTACTCATAAATCTACACATGTTGTCCGGCATATAATTTGAACCCTCAAGGCCTCAACCAGATGTCTTTTCAATACACCTGATATCACTACGCTACAAGCCATTTAGTTGGTATCACGAGATGTGTCTTATTTTCTAAAGAGGATACTATTGAAATGGCCCTTGTTGTTATTTGAAAATTACAATCATCGTCCCTAAAATGTTTTTAACATTTGAACCTTTAAGTGAAATGAGCGCACATCGCCCCACTTCCTTCCCTTACATATTCTCTATAAACAATAAATCTATTAATTTCGTCAACATCTATGAAATCTATCAACAACGTACATACCAAGCAAACTAATTCACCACCGGTGGCATCATCACGAACCACTTCCACACATCTTTAATGTATCATATGGATTCAATAGATTCAATAGGTATTATCGGGTGAATAAATAGAGTGTGTAGGCTTGTATTTGAGTTGGGTGACAAAGATCACTAAGCAAAATTAGTCTGTCATTCACCATACCAAGAGTTATACATTCAACATGCAAGAAAAGTTGTATGTCTAGTGTTGGCTTGAAAGATATAAACACATGGATAATTTCTACAATTTACTTTAATAGTTATGTATAAAAAACAGAAGAATTTTGCAAAATAATAATAATAATAATAATAATAATAATAATAATAATAATAATAATAATAATAATAATAA